AAACTCTGTTTGGCTCTAGTGAGGACGGAGCATTAATAAGAGCTCCTCCTACGGTGAAGGAAAGAAACAAATCTGCTGCTACTTTTTGACACCATACTAGGCTGCCAAATGCCAGCAAATATGCAAAATTAACAAAGCCCTCTATTCCCATCTTGAGATTAGCATTGCAAGTGGCAGATAGCTTAAAGTGAAAATGTTTATCACTTGCTCCTCAGTTTTCTCATTTTATCAATAAGGTGGCAGAACACAAGTCCTTGAAAAGACTTTCCACAACAATAAGCAATTTAGTTTTCACTGATGAAAATAAATGAAACTCAATTCCTTATCAACTAGAAACACAAAGTTAAGATTTACTAAGCCCTTCCTAAGTCCTAGGTATGATCCTAACTGCATGACATGCATTACTTAACTGAATCCTCAGAATAACTGTATGAACCAAGTACAAAAATTATTCCCATTTTACAGATGAGAGAATCACAACCTAAAGAGGTTAAGTAAATTTCCCAAGATTGAGGATCCAGATTTCAAGCTGGTATGTAGATTCAAAGCCTGTGTTACTGTGCCACATTGCTTCTCAATTCTGGGAAAACTAGTGTAAGACTTATCACAAAGATTATATTTCAATAATTTTAAGCAAGAAGAGCCACTACAATGGAACTAAGATCGAGTACTAAGATATATAAAAATACTCCAGTTTTGGTCAATCTGGAATAAGATTCTGAGTGAATATTTTTATAAATGTAAGTGCTATCTTAGTGCTATCTGTGCAAAAATGTGTGTGCATGTCCATGTGTACACATGCATGTGTGATTGTGTATTATGAGAAAGACACAGAGCTAGAGAGAGAGAGAGAGAGAGAGAGAGAGAGAGAGCAAGAGAGATTTTAAAACATTGTTTAAAAACCTGCTTGTACTAATTCTGGATTATAATAACTTGAAAAGGTCACCAAGGTATCACAACATAACTTCTAACTGCTTTACTGAGGGAGATGTATAAAGTTATATATCTCATCTCTGCCTTCCTTCCAATTACTCAGTGTGGAAAATGACATTGGCCTTCTAAAACCTTAACTTATGTTTGGACCCCTTCCATCTTTGAGTCCTATTCTAGTGCTGCTGACCATTAAAATGAATATTTCAGTGGGGCGGGAACAGTCCTATTAGCCCAAGCCAAGCTGTAGCTTTACATGGCTTGTGCTCTTTAAGAGGTGAATCTAGCCAGCCAGCTCACTTTGTTCAGAAGTATTAAGTGGAAAGATTGTAACACTCAAACAAAGGCAAAGTTCACTGGGTAAGACCCCAATAATACAATGGAGCATAAAACCTCTAGAATGTTTTACCATAATATTTTATGAAACATATGCGCACACTCTTTGTAACAGAATCCAATTCAAATGGTTTTGGAGGTCAGTTCAAAGTCACCACATACGCAGCATCTTTGTGAGAAATATGTACTATTTCAAAAGTACCCGGACCCAGAAGCTTCCTTTCCCTATTTTATAGTTTATTATCAGTCCCGCAGAGCATTATATTAGAGAAAAAAAAATCACCTACTACAGCATGATATAATTTGCAGCCAAAACCTAAAGTTCAGTAAAATAATCCAAATTTCAGAATCAACAAATTCTTGTGTTATGGAACAAAAGCAATCACAGAGGGTAATTCTAAAAGGAAGTGCTACTTTAAGTGTGGGCAATAAATATAAAAATTAAAAAAATTATTTTATTCTTAACTTCAGAGCCAATTATGAAAGCCTTTGACGTTCATTCATTGTTATGAAAGGAGCAAAAGGCTCTCAACTCTTACATTTAAAAGAAAAGTGAATTCGGAATGGGCCTGATTAGAGATAACTATTCATATTATTCTGAGGTTTCCAAAAAGCCCAAATGCTATGAGCAACTATGATTCTCCTTAGGGGAAGGAAGTAAAGGTCCACTTTGCATGACAAAGGTCAGATTTCTGCAGGCAAATGAGACTTCTATGGTTGACTGTTCCTAGGCTGTCACTGTCTGAGTCCTAAGAGGTCAAGAGAGGTTCCAAATTCTGCTCACTGCTTAGGGAACACCCCTGGGGCCACTTTAATCATTTTAAGGTCATTAGAACTTTTCTTACTTTGGTTCCAGCTTTACTCCCGTAAATCTTGCTAATGCATACTGGCAATTCAGTACTGACATAGGTTAAAAAGAAATTGAAAGTATTTAGTATTATATGCAGATCAAAAGATAGAATCCACTTAAAAACTTCTTTTAAATCTAAGATTGAATTCAATGAAATTCAAGTAGACCTCAGAGAGTGATAATCGGGGCCCAATAGAAAAGCTACACTCTATTACGGCTGTACTGGTATTTATACTATATGATCAATGCCACTCCTCTAGATTTCTTTAATATGATAAAGCTTTACTTGAAAATTATCTTATACAGTTTCCCTAATCATCAAATAAGTTTAACTATGATAATATTTCATTGTTTACTTTTTTGTAACAACTATTGAGTCACTAAAATACAACAAATGCTGAAGTAAAAATTATTTGACTATATTTCAATGCGCTTCTATTTAGTGCAAATATACATCTAAACTTTCTCAAAGTGCACTGGAAATATACCAAATGGATTATATTTATAAAAGTTGGAAGAGTTTCGCCTATTTGTAATTAATGAGGGGTATCTCTAAGTATTTAGATGTGTAGAAAACACCTGTATTTAATTATATCATACTTTTCTTAGACAACAGGAATTGAATTAAGGAATATTTTGAAACCCCTATATAAAAGTATTAATGGCTGTTCAAGAACTTTATTGGTACAATGCTTGAAAATGTCTGGTTTTACAGATCAGCAGCCTGACACTTCATAAATATCAGATATTCGATATAAAGGGAAGAAACTTAACGTAATGGGCAAATACAGAAAATACACCACTAGAAAAGACAAGGGCTGTACCTTTTCACTATTATTACATATCACATAAAGAGATACAGAAGATGAGTTTCATATTAGTACAGATTTGAATTAAATTTTGTAAGGTAGATAATAAGCAGGATTTCTCTTTGAATTGTGTTGTGGACTGAGAAATTCTACAAGAAAAAATTAACAGCTTGCTATTCATTCTTCAGAGGAAAAATCCTAAGCCGTTCTCAGGGAAACAGTGGAACACAAAAGTATGGGCTTTTAGTACTTGTCCTTAAGTATTGAAAAAGATCAAATTTGCTTTCTGGATGCTTACTGGTTCCAAATGCCACTACTTTTCAAACTCAGTGTCACTTCTGCAGTCAGTTTTCAATCTCCCAGTGGTAAGAATATATTCAAAGGCTATGTGCACAGCAGGGTAGAAGTCTTTCTCCCTAAATGTAACTATATCACTCATCAGTAACCTCCTGCCATAAGGGGACTTGTGTTTTCTTTCCTTTTAGTGACTCCTTAGGCTCTTGAATGCCAGTCACTGCCCTAAGACCTGGGGCAATATTCACATAATCTCTGTCAATAGTTCCTACACATGCCATTGGTGCAACTAAATGTCAAGGCTGCAGATCAAAGTCCCCACATTCTAAAATCCATGTCCTTTATGGATCAATTTTCATAAACTATATGCCATGTTTTAGAAATATGTGGAGGCTCACTCTTTGCTTTGTTCCTTTTATCCCAGAGAAGTTTATTTACATGAAAGGCAATCTGATTTGTAGATAAGAGTGTGAAATTCTCATGCAATACATAAAACTCACTCTTTCCTTTGCACAGCCTTCCATTGAAGTATTTTACTGTATCTGATATCTTAGAGTAGCAATGTGAACATCTTTCGGCTATTAAAATAAAAAGGCACAAATTGCTTTACAATACTTGGCCATCCTTCCTCAGTGCCTGGTACAATACGGGCTAGATTATAGAATAAATTCTTACTCATGATTGATTTTATTTTTAAATCTTCATTATGCTAGAAATAAATTGTAAGACAGAAAATAGCTTCAGCACGTGTTTTTACAATCTATATCCATTTTAATTATTCAAAATTGCTTGGGAAAATGAATATAATTATTGGAAATAATTTTCACTCTGTAGATTTTATATACAAATTAAACAGATCTATAGTTCTTCAAGTAGATCTGAGTAAAATACAATGGACCAAACTCTCTGCTCTGAATATCTTTTCACATCAATTGTGGTTATAAAATTTTCTTTTAATTTACAACTTCCTCTAAAGAACTATACTTAGAAAATCTCAAAATATTTAGAACATAATGTATACAACTGCTATTTACGCTTCTACCTAGCTAAAATTTAAATATATTTATTATAGAGGTAAGAGCATGTAACACATTAAATATGCACATACCAGAGGGCTAAAAAGGAATATGGGAAAACAAACACAGACTGTGAAGCCATAGAGCTGTTTACTAAATTCCAAATTTATTACAGATTCATCGTCCCAGTTCCCCTAAGCAAATTTTAATACAATTACATGAGATTATTAGCTACAAAGCTTCACCATGAGTTCTCCTATAATCTGTGAGACACTAGGCAAGTCACTTACTCAGGAGCTAGCCTTGGCTTTATCTGTTTTCGTATACAATTAAAATTTAAGGTTTTTAAAAGTGGGAGGAAAAGATTATTTCCATTTTTGTAGTAAATGGCTGAGGCTCAACAGAAAATCCGAGAAATGGAGGAAATTACAGAGGTCCTCATTAACGGAGAAGATTTAAATTTTCTGAGAAATCAAATTTCTATTTTCTTTAATTCTTCTCTTTATTGCTAATAAGAAAATAATTTGTCTAAAACCCAAATGTGACTAACCTTTAAATTAAAAAAGCTACTTTGACAATATACGGAATGAACTGATATAGAAATAGGAGTGTGTGTGCGCGCGTCTGCTTATGCTGAGGGCAGAGGTGGAGAGAGCCTGACAGCTATGATTCAAATCCTTTGACGCTCCCCTAGAGGTATGGCAAAATAAAGCTGCAGGAAGGTCATGGAAGAGCAAGTGGAGTCTTCTTGTGGAACTGACTTACCAGTTTTTCGAAGAGGGAAATCATCCTTTGCATCTTGCGCTCCTGGTAATGTGTATTTGTAGGATGGAGACGTTCCACTCAGGGGTGGAGAGCTTTGATCCAATGACGTGTGGTGGGCAGCCCTACAAAAGAAAAAGAGGGTTCACCATTTCCCCTTGAGTTTTTACTGCACATTGGTCAGCAATAATCGGTTGCACATGCTGTAACACGTGTCTCAGCTGTGTTTATGTTCTTTCTTTTTAGTGTGTACAAACCACAGCCTCATGTAACCAAGTTCAATTTAGCAGTATGTTACGGAATGATGCAGGATGCCCAAGAATGCCCACTGTGTGTTTGGTCACACAGTCACATAGAAAAGTTTGCTTCACTAAAGGAGAGAATTTACCCAGAGCCTGAGATTTGACATCTGAGATTATTGTGTATGTTTTCTTAAGAGCCATATTAGTGGAAAAGTCATCATCCGAATCCTTTTTAGTCAACAATGTAGAACAACCAAGGTAAAAGTAAACATACAGAAGGACTTCATTTAAAAAAACTGCTAGGTAGTACATGAGAGTACATGAGGGTGCCTTTCTACTGGAGAGACAGTACTGTGCGAATAGCCTCAGGTCTCCAAACTTCTAGGGCAGTTTCAAGGTAAAGACTGGAGACACATCCTTCTTCCATATGAACCTGACCTTTTAAAATCTTTTGTCTGTCCTGCATTAATACAGTAAAAGAGATGCAGTTGTGCTACTGGAGAATAGCTTAGGACTGAACATAGATTACCCAGTGGATATAAACATCTATAATCATTATATATGGAAAAAACATAGGGCGTAGTATCACCACCATGATGATTCTACCAATATTATTTATTTGAATCAACATTCTCAAGAATTACCTGGTGTAAGGATATTTTATCTAGCCATAACTGGCAAAAAGTATTAAGTTCAGATTTCATAAATTAATGACTTATGGTTGTCCAGGAGTTGGACCCTACTGAAGTTCAATTCAGTACAAAAAAAAAGGATTCCTAAGTAACATTTGAGAGCCATGTCGAATATACCCAAGGGAACAGCTAAAGAATTTTCAGCTGACAAGTCGTTTGCATGTAGTTGTTTCCACTTAACAACAACAACAAAAAAGGTATTATCTTTTCTTAAAACAGGTTTTAACTTAGAAGGAACATGAGTTAGTTATAAATTATGTATGTAATTTTAGGTAATAAGACAGAATTTCTTTTTCAATACTTTTTGATGTTGATTGAACACGTGAAAATTTTCTACAGGGATTGGTTTTTCAAGTCAATTGACATGCATGGTATAAATTATGTAAACCATTAAAAAATATTTATACAGCATTCTAGAATCTGCCTCATCTTTTTTTCTGGATGCAGAGAAGGGAAGATACTTATAAGATAGAATTATAAGAACAATAACTCTTTTAATAGAACTCCTGGCATGCTTGAAATGTCAGTGTAACAGAGTATCAAATAATCAAGTTTTTACTCCCTTGTCCTTATGATGTGATTAAAAAATATGTAAGTGTAAAATCCTAAACATATTTTTTAAATATGAGAGAGATGAAACTATGACCTATTAGTCTATTATCCAAATATGCTTTGCCTATCAGTTCTTCTCCTGATTTTTTAAAAATATCACCTCCTTCATACTTTACAGAAGGAAGAATTGTGTGTTGCACAGTATCTCTTTACTAGACTTGGAGAAAGATGGTTGAATAAAAAACTGTAATACCGCAGTATGTTACGTTGTCAGCTTGTGTGTTAAAAGCCAATCTACTCTCATTTTACAGGGTGGGAAGAAATGAGATGAGGTGGGCACGGGTAAACTAGTCACTGAAGACTTAGATATATCAGTTACTTTTCTTTCTTTCTTTCTTTTTTAATTAAGTCAAAAATCTTCTGGACTTTTAAAAATAATTCAGATCTCCACCTTATTTCAAGCCAAGTAAAATAAAATCTCAACCAGCCAAATCTTCAGAAATTATTGTAAAGATATCAGATGCACCATCTGAGAATAGAAAAATGCGAAATATGAATTAATTTCTATGCCCCACCCTACATTTGTCAGTTATTCATTTGGCAAAGAACATGTATAATACTTTCTAGCCCTCAAGATGATACTTGCTAACATTTATTTAAGAGCTGGTCTCTGTTATATACTTTCCCACATTGTTTCACAGGACCTTCCCAGAAACCCTAGAGGGCAGGTACTATTATCGTCCTCTTTTTACAGAATAAAGACCTGAGCCTTGGAGAATTTGAGGAGCTTGCCCACGGCCTTATAGCTGAGAAGTTAGCAGGCCAGGGATTTGTGCCCAGGTTGGCTGAATTGAGAACCTGTGATCTTTACCCCTGGGAATGAAAAAAGCCAAACACTGAACATACGTGTACCAGAGCTTGGGATGGCGGCTCACGGAATGATTTTTTCCATTAGTTGGAGTGTCTTTTGTTGCTGATTTACTCAACAGGAATTCTTGAAGCTTCTGCTTTACTTCTGTACTTGCCACTGCCCCTGAAACACACACATACAGAAACAGATGGTGATTTGCGGTTTTGTCCTTTCAAGCCTCTGGAATATTTAGCAAAAATTAAGAAGTAACACCACTCGTCACAGCATATGAAGTTTTCCTACTAAAAGAAGAAACCAGAGTCTAAACAGCCTTTAGAAAATGACATGGTAATATTTTGTAACTACTGCTTCAACTGCCAATTTTCAAAAGACCTTCGATGATTTCTTTAATTGCTTTTGCAGAAAGGGGATTCCCAGAATTAATACTAATTTTTTCCTAAGCTTTAAAAAATACTGCTGAGGAACAGAACACTGCTTTATAAAAGTCAAGAATCTTGGGGGACCATATAAGTGATTAAGCAAATTAAAATGAGCTCTTCTGAATTGCTAGTTTGAAAAACTTTTTAAAAAAGCACTTTTGAGCATTAAACAAATAAATATTGCTGACAATTCCAGTTTAAGTCATCAGATTTTAAACCTTGCTACGACCTGATTTTGAACTGACCTCGTACAGGGGAATTATTTGGATCTGTCTCCCTCTTGTGGATAGTTGCTTTAAAAAAAAAAAAAATTCTACCTTAAATCTCAAAGTTTGGGGTACTTGAAAACTAAATAAGACAAGGCTTGACTTATTAAAGAGCAATTATTACTTGAGCAGGAGGAAGGTATGGTGGAGTAATGTGGAAGTAAGTTTATTATTAAACACAATGGCATAGCTATATTGCCTTAGTATAACATTATTTTTAAGGCTCAAAACAACAGAAATTAGCATCTTTGCCAAACAATGCTATGTTTACTTCTGGAGATGCTTGTAGACTGAATGCAGAGAGCTGATATGTGAATGTCAAAGCCTTACATTTGGGTCCATAATGTATTCTTTTACTTAAACACAGACAATTTTGACAAGTTTAATTCCACTTTTTTTCAGGCTCCTTCCTGAATGACCATCAGCTAAAGATGAGGGAAGAGATCCGTCTTTTACCCTGGTGCCTCTTACTTTCTCGTCCTCTATCTTTGCCTCTGAGAGGAGGAAGCTGCTGTTCTCTGCGATGCCTCTCTACTTCCTGTTCTTGCCTCTGCTGCTCCAGTTTCTGCTCCTTTTCTAGCAGTTCTTGTTGCTGTTTTATGGCTAGAAGTTCCTGTTGCAACTTGCGAGAAGAGAAAGACATGAGAGTGTGCAATTTCTTTAGACTTCATAGTCATCAATGACCAAAATCGAAATGTTATGAGCTTTTGGAAATTATTTGTATTTACTTTATATTTTACCCATTTTTTGGTATATTATTGAAATCTAAAGACAAGCAACTAATGCCATAAATGGTCTTAAGGTCATTAACAAGAAAGTTTTTAGGTAGTTTCAACACCTATGCCGTCCTATCACAATATTACCAAATTCACTCAGATCTTCAGTTCCTTGAGTAACTTTCCTTTGTGCATCTGAAATACATGATACAGGCAAAGAAAGGCAGGAACTTCCCAGGAGTCTGTTTTACCAATTCCCTTGCAACATAAACGATTGAAATCTTCACTTCTTATCTTGAGAAATTGTGTGAACATAATCAAACTGAATAGAATAGTGAGATATGAGTTAATATGGGGGAAATCTACCTGAAATAAAATGAAGGCTAAAAATTTCAAAACCTTCCAAGAAGGTTTTCAAAAGATGAATGCAATCTGTATATCCATAACAAGCTCTTCTCTCAAAATAGCAAAGTCTAATTAGTTCACTCAGCACACAAAACCCTTCAGATTAGAGACTGGTCATGAAGAAATCACTTCCATCAGACTACACTTTGATGCACTGTTGTTTGGCTGTCTGAATCCCTTGAGTTCACTTCCAAATAAGGTACATCATGAATATAAAGCATTCTTAATAACCACTTTGAGGGCTTCCCTGGTGGCGCAGTGGTTGAGAATCTGCCTGCCAATGCAGGGGACACGGCTTTGAGCCCTGGTCTGGGAAGATCCCACATGCCGCGGAGCAACTAGGCCCGTGAGCCACAACTACTGAGCCTGCGCGTCTGGAGCTTGTGCTCCGCAACAAGAGAGGCCGCGACAGTGAGAGGCCTGTGCATCGCGATGAAGAATGGCCCCCGCTCGCCGCAACTAGAGAAAGCCCACTCAGAGAAACGAAGACCCAACACAGCCATAAATAAATAAATAAATAAAATTTAAAAAAAAAACAAAAAATCATTTTGAGATGTCAATTTTCTCTCAGACTAAGAAATAGACATGGAATAATCGTAAATGTGCCCACTGAGGAATAACTCAAGACAGAGTTCTACTAGGCTCTGACATTACTAGATACGAGATCTAGACAACACTAAGCCACTCAGAGAACTAGTCCCTCATATATAAGACAGAGGAATAATCTCCACCATGCATCATGTTCATAATGCATATGAAATTAAGCTGTAAGTTTGAACAATACTAATTTTGCTTATTATTACTATTTTAAACTCTAATTACTAATGAAGTTAGTGTAATTTGCTGTTTATATGAGATAGGTGCCTAAAATTCTGAAATTTACACTGCACAGTAACAGAACAAAAATAAAAAGTTATATGGAATGGCATCAGAGTCACTGTGGAGCAACAGGAAGCCAACTCTGCATGTCAAGCATGATAGCTTCACTTGTCCCAGAAGGACATGGCTAGAAGCATTTCTGGTTACTTTCCAAATTACAATCTTTGACATTTTGGATTTGATACACCAGTCTCTTAATAAGTGTTTCTAGATACTCCATTCTAACCAAAAATTTCATAATTCTGCTTAAACTTTGCCTTAAATGTTAATTCTATGTAGATATTGGGGTTGATCAAGTTGATTTATTGCTTCACCCAAAGCCCCAATGGAATTGAATATTAATCTCTCTTAGGAATTAGAAAAGCACACGATTTAATTTCCACAGCTACTATTCATTATCAAAGATTGCAGGAATGAGGTTAAAAAAAAAAAAAGTAACAAAACATCACTCCTCTAGTTTCATGTTCCAGTCCAAGACAGAGGCAGAATGAAGTAATAGCTTTGGAGGCAGATGAGGCAAGATTACAAATCCTGGAGCACCCACTTACTGGCTGTGTAGCCTTGGGCAAGTTACAGTGTTTCTGCCTCAGATTACTAGGTGGAAAAATGGGATAACAGCATCTAACTCAACAGATGATTACAGAAGCCAAAGATTCAAAACACTAGAAGTAAAGCATCATGCTGTGTCTTCCTGATAAAAGTAAAATCTAGATGAATGTTAAAAGCATCAACTTTTAGTCCTATGCATAAAAAATATAAAACAATAAAACTGTAAAAATTTTAAAGCAAAGAAACTTCCTAAACTGAAAGGGAAATTTTAAGTATGACTTTAGTTTCTGAAAAAGCAACTTATTACTTTAGAAAATAATTCCAAATACTAAGTTTTCCTTAGCTATCTCAGAATCATTTTTCTCCCTCCCCTTTTCTAATATTTTCTAGGTGTCAGTAAATCTGCTACATACTACCTTGTTTGGGGTAACGTAACAATTGCCTACTTGCTACTATTAACTTTTGAGTAAAATCAAACAATTAATTACTTAAAAAAATTTTATGTTGATCTTTACAACTACAAAAGGCATCAAACATAAATGAAAAGAACTATCTAAAGCTGTAACTTATCAGTATCGCCCTATATTCAGGGCAACACGACTTGCATACCGCAGCAAAATGAAACAAACCTTCAAGTATAGGGGAGAATATAAACTTTACTCATTCATCATTGCCATTTTAACATGCCTAGAATGAATGAAGAAGGAAATCTGGACATTATTGTTACTATTATTGTCTCAGAGGTCAAACTGAAATAAAATGTTCCAGAATCACTCAAAAATAAGTCTATAAACTAAATGAAGGTTTCCTATACTGCAAAATACAACCAGGATTCCATATGAGACTTAAAACAAAATCCTCACTCTTATTTTTAAGGTATCTTATGGATCAATATATTGTAAGCGTCTTTGAGTGAAGTCCACTAGTTAAAGGAAAAAAATACCACATTTTATATCAGGTATCAAAGAGCCTTTTTCTGAAAATAAGTTAAAATAGGTCTTCCAGGCTAAGGAAATATAAAACAAGGAACATAGGAAAGAAAAAGCATTTTTACCCTCTCAGACACTGTAATATCAATGTGGTAAAATTATATAATATTAACATAGATTAGTTATCTATATTAAGCCCACATAAATGTGCCTGTGTTTTATTTGCAAGTGAGTAAAAGATCAATTTCTGCAGGGCAGAAATTGAGACACAGATGTAGAGAACAAATGTATGGACACCAAGGGGGGAAAGGGGCGGCGGCGGGTGGTGGCGGTGTGATGAATTGGGAGATAGGGATTGACATGTATACACTGATGTGTATAAAATGGGGATTACTAAGAAGAACCTGCTGTATAAAAAAATAAATTAAAAAAAAATGCAAAAGGAAAAAAAATCAAGTGTCTATAATACAATATAATAAAAATGAAATAATATAACATACACTTTATTATATTAATAAGTTAACAGAAGCTAAGTCGTTTTTGAAGGAGTTGGACATAAAAGTAGACTTTTTTATTACAAATATTTGTTATTTTATATTACTGTCATAATAAATTCAAATTAAACATCTACTAAGTCAGACCAAAATAGCTTTGTTTTAATTATTTTTGTTAAGAAGTTGAAAGACATTTTACAAATAATGCTGAAGTAATATTTATCTCTGAGGATACAAGAGAATAACTAGATACACAGACACTGATAATAAAATACTCCATCATACATAATTGTGGGATATGGACATATTTCTCCTAGAATAATTTAAACAACTTGGGTCTCTAATTGTCAACTACTCCCAAAACTGTTTCAATAAATTCTTATCTACAGTCTATTAGACTTATATGAAAACACTGAAAATATATGTATCAGTTTCTTTATATAAAGTTTTGTTGAGCTTTTCATTATGTTATTATTTTGAATGTATACATTGTGAGGTCTTTTCCATAAGGAAGATTAGGACACACTCAGAACATCTACTTATAGAGCACTCAGAATATCTACATATAGACCAAAGACAAAAATTTAAAAAGGCTCTCTCTTTACATAAAGGGATTAATTTATCCTCTCTGGTAAATAGTATATGCAGATTCTTTTTGAAAAATTAATTTTTATTGGGAGTATAGTTGCTTTACAATGTTGTGTTAGTTTCTACTGTACGGCAAAACGAATCAGCTATATGTATACATACATACATATATATATATATATATGGCTCTTTTTTGGACTTCCTTCCCATTTACGTCACCACAGTGCATTAGGTAGAGTTCCCTCTGCTATATAGTATGTTCTCATCAGTTACCTATTTATACATAGTATCAGTAGTGTATATGTGTCAACCCCAATCTCCCAATTTCCCCCTCTCCCCCTCCCTTTCGCCCTTGGTATCCATACATTTGTTTTTAGAAATATAAAATGGGTCTTTCCAGGCTCGTGGTTCTTCTTGGTGGAGAGTAGATGGGGCAAATGGACAAAAGCATGTAGAAGAGAATCTTAAAAAGGGTGGGAAATTACTCTTCCTTACTATTGATTCTGTAAACTAACAGAAAAAAGAGTGGTAGAGGCTCCTCTCCAAGAAGCAAAGCAGGTTTTTGCCAGGATTCCTTTTACTTACCCAGGTTTTTCACTAGTACAATCAAAGTTTCCTCCCAGCCATGCATCCGTATCTTTTCATAGTGAAATATCCCTCCACTGCTCCCTCTTATGCCCATGTTATGGTGCAGGCTCCCTGAGTCAACGGTCAGAGACAAAGAAACGTTTGCTACCTTGATGTGCTCCTGAAGCTGAGCCTGGTGCTGCCGTGTTAAGTTCTCATGCTGTTTCTGAAACTCTGCGATCAAGAGCTGCTTCTGGATTTGCTGCTGTTGCTGGATGAGGAGTAACTCCTGCTGCAGTTGCTTCTCACGGACTACAGGGTCCACCACGGGCATCATCATCCTGAGGTCTGTCCTTAGGTCTAAAGGCGAGATGGGCTCCAGGCCCACAGGAACCTCTGACTTTACATCAACTGGAGAGATGGAAAAAAAGGATGGATGATAGAGGATAGAAAATTAGCACATTGACTTGGAAACAAATGAAAAGTGAAAGACACTATACCCCATTTGACAAATTTTACATCAACAAATCTAGTCTTTTTTTTTTTTTACAAGGATGGTAAAAGGTCTTCTGTATATCAGGCTTGATAAAATGAACCACAGGCTAATTTTCAGCCAGCAATTTGTACTCTGCTGTGAAATCTTCCACATTTCCCTTTTTCAAAGAGATGACTCCGAAGATTCACGGACATCAAAGGTGTTCACAAAACTTATTCTACTGGACCACTTACCAAATTCAAGTCAACTTAGGACAAAAAAATGCAACTCTATCGAGGAAAAGATGTCATGTTATATTAGAGAACTTCTAACACAACTAAATTTGTACACTTGCAAACATTTTTGTTTGTAATCAGAGTCAGAAAATATACTCTAAGATATATTCCTTATGAAGTAAACCTTTTAAAATAATCTATTTGGAGGGCTACTGGACCTACCAAAGAAAAAGTAAAAATATGCATGCTGAAATGTGGGAAATGGTGAGTAGAAAGAAAATACAGACCCAGGGTAGACAGAAGTCACCTCATTTTCGATTTCAAATCATTGTAAAAGTTTTAAAACTATTGGAACCAAAAAAAAAAAAAAAAAAACCTTCTATAAATCGACTTTGATATTCAGGCTGCCAATTTTCAACCTCTGCTCTAAATCTCAATGCCTAGGACTTCCCTGGTGGTCCAGTGGTAAAGAATCCGCCTTACAATGCAGGGGACGCGGGTTCGATCCCTGGTCAAGGAACTAAGATCCCATATGCTGTGGGGTAACTCACACTCCACAACTACTGAGCTCGTGGGTCTCAACTAGAGCCCGTGTGCTGCAAACTACAGAGCCCATGCGCCCTACAGCCTGGGCGCCACAATTAGAGAAGAGAAAACCCACACGCCACAACTTGAGAGAAGCCCACGCACCACAACGAAGAGCCCATGTGCCGCAACGAAAGATCCTGCATGCCACAACTAAGTGATAAGTCTTATTATCACTTATCACCGATGCAGCCAAAAATAAATAAATAATAAATAAAATCTGAAAAAAAAATCTCAATGCCTGTTCCCATAACTTTTAAAAGGTTGTGTCACCCTCAGGGTAACTGTGTTATCCTGAGTGTGTTATTTAAGTTCTCTAGGTCTCAGTTCCCTCATAGGCAAAATGGAGATAATTACCATTAACAATAACAACACAGAGTTGTTAAAAGGATTAAATGTGATAATCCACTCAAAGACTGACAACATATATAGCACATCCCTCAATAGATGCTTTTTCTAAAAAGATTACGTAAAAACAGAAATTTCGTGTGTATTAAAATAAATCATCAACACTGTGGGGCTAACCAAACAAAAATATGGAGCCAGTATGAAAATATAATTGTTTATGATTTCTATTAAATATGAGAAAATAGAAACACTAAAACATCTAGAAAAATTATAAAACAAGAAAACAAAGAAATACAGCCAAACAACTAAAAAAAAAAAATCCACCTTCACTAGTAAACATAATGCAAAATTTTAAATAAAAATACGGCATCATTTTCTAATGATTAAATATCATATATATGATTCACATATATGCATATGTGTATGTACAACATCCGCTTGTATAGGGTAAACATATGACCAAGTAGACAATTATACATTGCAAGTGGCACCGCCAGTTGGTTTAAAACTTCTGAAAAAGTGATACGTGATATCACAATTTGGTGACATCTGTCAAGAGGCATTAAGTATTTCTACCATTTGATTCAGCTTTGCCAACTCTTGGAATATATCTTAAGGAGATAATACTAACAGGAAGAAACAGTTCAATGTCAAACTGTTTACTGAAGTATTATCATTTTAATTGAAATCACCAACTACAAGGAAATGTCTAGTAAAATATGTCACATCCACTTCATGGAAAAACATGCAATCATTAAAAATAATGTTTATGAGAACATGAAAAATGTTGTTGTAACACTAAGTGAAAGAACAATAATAAAAATGACATATACCCTATGATAACTCTTTAAAAATAAGTTAATTTAGTCAATGTACATTTACCGAGAACCTTAAATTCCCAAGGTGATTCTAGATGTTTGGGTTCGGTAATAAAACAAAAAGACAAAAAAAATTCTAGCCCTCATAGAGCATATATTCTACTGGAGATTTAATGGTATTAAGTCTCTGAATTCTACCAGCAAAGACTGGTGAGATAGAGAACAAAAGAAAGTTGTATTTTGGGTGGAAACATGAATAATTTTCCCCCTTCTACTTCTCCATATTTTTACAAATTGTATCTAATGCTGTGACTCCTACTCTGAGTAACTTAGATTTGAAGACTCCAGGTTGGAAACTACCAAGTTAACATTCCATATGCAAATTTAAGAGAGATTTTCAGGAAGTCAATAAAGCCTAACATAAATTCTGTCTATAGAAGTTAAGGCTTCAAACACTAAATGAAACATTAATGTCTTGCTTATCATCTGAATCGTGTGTACACACAGGCATGTGTGTGTACAGGCACGTGTGTGTGTCAGCTTGCAGGGGTGGAGTGGGGGAACTGATATCAATCTTGGTTGTTGACACTGGTGATTTTTCAATGTACAGATCAGAAGAGCTTGCACTGATAGTGCTGTGTCAGTTTAATGAAAATGGGAAAACGATTTATTAATAAACCATAATTTGGGGGACAATGTCTCCTAAAACATGATATTTACAAAAGGAAAAATAATAATTGTGACAAGTTTGGAACTAACTGAGGAAGATGGCCTGTAAGATCTCTTGGTCAAAGGATCCAATGCAGAACTTTCAATTAAGGCTCTGGAGTAACATGAGACTTTGAGCATTAATTTATAGAATTGGCGTTATTCCAACCAAAAGCAATGGCTGTTAAGCATATATTTCACTTTTACATTAAAAAGGCCAAACTAAAGCCTCAGTTTTTACATGGACATCTCAGTAAACAAATTTAACCCTATAAAGGCAAAATGTAAAATTTCAAGAGATCCTGGGGTCTCTTGTTGCTGGCATTCTTATTACCCATAAACTATAACCGTCAACCCTCCGCCCAAAAAAAAGAACAAAACCCTAAAGAGATAAGGAAAAAAGAGCCCCAGAACTCTCCAAAACAGCTAGTGTAAGCCTCAAAGGGTAATCTGACTTCTTAACCTGCTATCCCAACAGAAATGATTGTGTCTAACTGCTTGCCTTTGTTCAGAGACTAATCACTAAATTGTGAAAAATCACCCTCAACTTACAAAAACTGCTCTTGATTATAAATAATTGCCCAAGACTGAGAGAAAGAGGCAGGCAAGATCCCAGTCTTTCATCCAATTTATTCAGCAGCAATCCACATTCCATTTGTCTAGACTAAATATAGCAGCGTTTACACAAGAAATCAATAGTGCTTGCAGAGAGGAGAGCGAAGGCATGAATATTTCATCAAACTCAGAGAGAAATGGCAATCAGCAAACTGATGGTTCTGTGTAGGTCATCTCTGGCCTGCTGGATTAGTTCCTGTTACTTGGACAATAGCTCATCTCTGGTTAATCATAATCATATCACAGCCATTCTTTCTATTTTTAAAATTAATTGCATTGTGGGTGACAAAGGCTCATCGTATTCCAAAAAGAATGACGGATTTTTCTTCCATCTTCTGTGACAAGCTAATAAGCCTCCCCAGGAGCAATAATAGTAACACAATACCAGGGCTGAGTTTCAACAAGTTACAGTCACTTACACATCACAGAATGTGAAAGAAAGGGCATTGTCCACAGCTGCTGTATTATCATAATTAGAAATAATCAACTAACAAGGAAAAATTAACAACCAATTTTAACAGTGAGGAAATGGAATCATCACTGTTCAAACATTTCTTGTCTAGGAACATGCAAATTACTTAGAACAGGTGGCCAGTGATACATAAGTTAGAAGGAAGTTGATGATAACAGTAGCATTAGCATCACTTATAAACAAATCCTGTTTTCTTAACAGATCTCATAACTTTATTTAGATTCACCCTATTTGTCTGAGATTTCAAATACATGTGACATATATATGTATATTATATGTTTATTGTTATTCTAATAGCAAATACCCAGTCAGAACATTTCCACATATATTTAGTCTTATTATCACTTTACAGAGTTCTGCTCGTTCTTTCCGCAATGTCTTTTCTTACTAACCCTTTGATAGTTATTCCCTCCTCTACTTAGGACTTATCAACTCATGCAATTTTTTTTGTTTTTTGCGGTACACGGGACTCTCACTGTATGGCCTCTCCCGTTGCGGAGCACAGGCTCCGGACGCGCAGGTTCAGCGACCATGGCTCACGGGCCCAGCCGCTCCGTGGCATGTGGGATCTTCCTGGACCGGGGCACGAACACGTGTCCCCTGCATCGGCAGGCGGACTCTCAACCACTGCGCCACCAGGGAAGCCCAACTCATGCAATTTTTTAGAAATAGTTTTTACTTTAAGAAACATGGAAACAAAAAAGCTCCCATTTCAAAATAAAAATCTCAGCTCATATAGATGCTTATGATAATTACATTTATTTCAGCAACATATATACCTGTTCAGCTGTAACTAAATTTCTTTGATAAATACGTTTTTTTATATACCAAGACCATTAAAGAGTTAAATCAAAGTACTAAGGATACCCTAAGTAGTCACAGCATGTTTCTTAATTTTTCACTTTAGATGCTATTATTTATAGCACAGGTATGTAGGGAGAATTTTTGTATGTTCAAAAACAGGAATCTTTGGCTGCTTCTTTATCGGCTGGGTTACGAACAAGAAGCCATCCATTTTAAGAATGTTTTCAGTGAATAACTTGCAAACCTCATGGATGGAAAAATTCTAAGAATGCAAATTTTGACCATTTACAACTATCACAACAATGGCGAAGACTGTTCACGCTGTTCCTCTGAATGAGATCCCGAAGCAG